CCTAATTGCATGTATGCATCAACTCCAAGTGAATTTAGAGGACCCTGCCAAGAGGAGTAATAAATGGGTGAAGGAAAACCACGGGGGAAGCATCCTACCCCAGCCCGCAGCTCAAACTGCTCCCCAGCACTACATTTGGCTGCAGATCCCCTTAGCCCGCTTGCCGAGAGGCAGCATCCCAGGCTCCTGCACCATCCAAGGGGAAGGAAACCTGCATTTCCTGGTCAGACGGGAAATGACATCGTGGCTTCCCTTTCCCGCAAGCTTCTAAACACCACGTCCTGCCAAGGGCTGCTCCCCACTACCCTGACATATCACACAGGCTGGGACAAGGCACAGGCACAGACACCCCAACAGCCAGCTCAGCGTAACAGGCCCCACTCCCCAAGGGACGCATCCTACCTCCAGGGACCACGTCCTCACCTATCAAACACAGCGGCTACACACTCCTGCCTGGGGCAGCAAGCATCTCACAAGCAAAAGGCAGCAGGTGCCACGTCCCAGCCTCAAGGATTCTCCCATGGGGACACAAACATGCCCAGAAGGCTCTGAAGATGGGCTCAGTATTTGCAGAGCTGAGGAGGAAACAGCACCATAACCCTGCAGGACACCTGTTTGCCAAGACTGTGCAGCACATCCAGGCCATCCCCTGCTCCCCTAGCAGCTCCTGTGAGCATCAGGCAAGGCCATCTCCCCCCCACCACTCCCCACACGCACACCTTGAAGCAACTCAGCCTGCCTGGAGCCAGGCACGGCAAACAGCTGCGCGTGCAGCAACATGCTTGGAAGAATGCGTTACTCCACTGGGCAAGGGGCCTGCCAGGAACACTCAAACATGGTGACCCACCCTCCTAGGTCGGAAAAACTCGTCTTTGCAGTTCACCATGCTCCCTCCCGCCTGGTGCAGCTACCCACGCTGCCCGGTGAGAGCCAGCACCGCTTCCCTGGCTTGCCAGGCCAGTGCTGGGAGCATTGCTGAGGAGGCAGCCCAGATACAAGAGCAAATCCGAAGCCCAGGCACCGTGTAAAAGGTGTAAAAGGGAGCGAGAAGAACATTCATCATCTGAGGACAGAGAGACACCTTCCTCCTCTTGGCCTGGGTGGAATCAGTTCTCCATATTCATTTCCTCTGAAACTACCGTGCTCGTAGGAGAGATCCTACCTGCCTCACCCCAAATAATTGGTCTCTACCAGCAATTCTGCACTTGCACAAGTGGCATGAGAGCAGCTCACCCCCCAGCTGCTCTCCAGCCCTCGCTCAGAAGCTGACACAGGTGAGGCCCATACCTTCCAGGCTGCCCACACCAGGGCCAGGCCACTCGCAGGAAGGCAGTGAACTTTGTGCAGTGTTCACTGCAACTGGGGCCAACGCCCATAGGAACAGGAGCCATCAGAGCCAGAACGGAGACATGGTAGCAGCTCATGCCCTTGCATAGGAGCCCAGCAAGCTGCTGCTGCCACCAACCCACCCTGAGGTCACCTACATTCTAGAAGAGCACCCAGATCCACAGCAGCACTCAACTAGGCTGCAGGAGAGCCAGTCCAAGGGCTCACTCTTCCATCCTGCTTGCTCAGCTCCCTTCAGCCTCTGACTTCCTTGGCCAAGCTTAGAAAGAAACCTCCAGCCCACAATGCTGAGCTAGGGCACCCACATGCCTCCTGACACAACTCCAGCACCCCACAACCACAGAGCCACCCCCTCCTTCTGCCTCACCAACAGGCCAGGCTGTGGTTTCACAACCTGTTTAGGCCACGCAAGCAGAAGAAATCCTGCTCTCATCAGCACAAGCATCTGAGTAACCAACTGTTTAGAATCACACGTACAGAGGAAAGAAGTGCTCAGCCCAGACCAGACCCCAACCCACACAGCCACAAACATTTCTGCAGTGGATAGAGGCCAGAGTGCTGCGGCATGAGGTCAGCATGGAGCTGCAGCACACAAGGTAGAGGCCGGAGGACAAACCATCCAGGTGTCAGCCCCTCTGTCTCCAACCCCTGGAGGGTGGCTGGTCTCTCAGAAGGGAAAGGAAGCGTGGAACCTGCTGCCAGCTCACTACCACCTCCCTGAGCCACATGCACCAGAAGCACATCAGGCACTGCACCACCAGCCTCTACCTTAACAGGAACACAGAGGGAAAAAGACAGGCATTCCAGTAAGGGCTGTAGATCCCAGCACCACACCTGGCATCTTGCGGTGCTTAGTCACCAGCTTCCCTCCGCACCCCACCAGCCATCTCACCCCACCATGCTGGGTGGTTTAGATATGGGCCACAATGAGGAAGTAGTACCACATGCTGGGAAAACTGCTTCCTCTGTAAAGAAATAAAGCAGGGAAATATACTGTACACTTCGGTGCAGGAGGATCTCTCCACACCCAGGTGACATAGAAGCATGAGTACAGCAGTCACCCCACATTGGTCCATTCCTATGTACCAGTTACTGGACAAGGAAGACAGTGGGACACAGCAGCTCTCCTGACTGGAAGGTGGGCAGCACAGCAGTAGACATGAGACACACAGGAGTCAGACACACTCATGATCCAACACTTGTCAACCAGCTGCCACAAGCCCCCAGAACAGGAACAGGCCAAGCCTGAAGAAACAGTGCTGTGTCCTTCCCACCTTCAGCAGCCCCCTGCACAAGAGCAGGAGCCAACAGAAGGCTCAAGTCACCTTGGGGAACTCCAGCACTCTGTTCTGCAGCCTGCAGATCCAGCCCCTTCCCAGCAGCCTCACATCGAGGCACATTCCTGAATGCTGTGCCAGAGGACAACTTCCTCCACCAGCCAAGCCCTGTGTCACACACAGAACTCTGAGGCTGCCTGAATCACTCAACAGGTTTAGATTTTGTCACCACAACCAGGCAACACCTGTTGCTTTTTATGGACCCAAATCAATTCTGCGGTTCTGCTCCTTGTCAGAAACAGAGCTGAGGCAGTGAGAATAGCACAGTGCAGTGACCTGTGTCTGTAGGGAAAGGAGGGAGCTCTGTGCATCCAGCCTGAAAAGGACAGGCAGACAGCATGATCATTGCAGGGCAGCTGGGGAGAGAAACCGGAATGCTCAAATAGCACTGTCCTCTAAATTTGCAGATGCCACTCAGAGAACCCAACAACCTTTCAGGCATAGTCCAAGCCAATCCTTCTGGGTGCCCTAAACACACCCCTTGGATCAAGGCCTAATCTCAAGAGCAGAAACAGTAAGAGGCAATCCAGCGACAGAGCTGGGCCTTCCTACCAACTCCCAGCCCACCCCAGGAAAAAAAGGACCATGAGGACTCTTGAATGCAGTGATGCAGGGTAGCCTTGTTGGATGAGAGGTACTGATCCCACTGTGGCCAAGGCAAACCCAAAGCTACACAGCACTGAGCCTCTCCATCCTCCCACCCTTTCAGGAAGGCAAAACACACACACAGTCCCAGCAAGGGCTACATACCACAAGACAGTTGTCTGCACACAACACAGGTTCAGTCAAATTCAGTTTAAGAACAGCTTTAAAAAAAAAAAAAAAAAAAAAACGCAGCGGCCCCTTTTTTTCCCCCCCCCCCCATTAAAGTGTGTGAGTAAATCCAGACAAGCCAGAGAGCCTGTCTCTGGGAAATGTGGGTGCCGTCCTTCCCTGTTGTCAACAGCGAGCCCTGTACTGTCAGACAGCAGCGCACAGCAGGTACCAGGAACAGGAGCAGAACAACAGCAAGGCCCACAGCCAACATAGACCAGCCCTCGTCCTGTATCACCACGTCCAGGACAAGGTACGGACAAAAGAGGCTGGCACATGAACTGCAGTCCCCGGCCCACTGCAATCCTAGACCAAGTTAGTGCCAAGTTTCAGCTCCTTCCCCACACCAAGCTGAGGACAGTCTTACTTCCAGTTCCACAGTGAGAGAGGACACAAAAGGAACTACCACACCAGCAGCTGTACTCGGCTCCATGCACCAGGTGCTGCCCCTAAATGCCCAGCAGCTGAGCAGGAGAGCCCTCCACAAGGCACAACTGACCCGGGAGGGGATCACCCAGCAGGGCAGGGAAAGGTCTGTCCCCGTAGCAGCAACCACACAGCCCAGCTAGGCAGCAGGACCTTACCAGAGCAGGAGCCACCACCCGGAGACCCACCCCTCCTCAACAATCAGAGGAAGCTCAGCCGTCCCCACTCCCTCACTCGAGGCTCAGAGGATATATCAGAACCACTGGCAGTCCTCCCACGGACAGACACCCGGACTTGAGTGCAGTCACCCCAAGTTCAGACTCCGCTCCGCAGCGCTCCGAGGAGCGGCACCGCGGAAGGTCGGCGGCCTCTCGCACAAAGACACGAGACGGCCAGCTGACAGGAATCGCGGGGCTGCCCGCAGGGCCCGGGCCAGGCTGCAGGAAGGCCGTCCCCGTTCGGCAGCGGCTCGGTGCCACCTGCCAGCCCGCGGCTCCGCCGCACGTCGCTTTTCGTCGTCGGGAGAGCAGAGGCGCGCTGCCGAACGGAGCCGCCTGGAAGAAGGGAACTGCCGCACCCGCCCCGCGCCCTTACCCTCCCCAGCCACCGGAGTCCCCTCCCGCTAGAACAAAGGCGCAGACGAGGAGAAGGACACGGCAAGACTCCGCTGCCAGCACGCGGGGGGGCGGCCCGGGCCCCGCGCCCTGCCCCAGCCCGCCCTCCTCCCGCACAAAGGCAGGGCGAGGGCCGCAGATCTCGTTTGCATCGGCCGCCAACCCGCCGCGCCTGTCGGGCCAGCTCCCCGCGCCGCTGGCACGCCGGCGCCCTTTGTTGTGCGGCCCCGGGATCGGCGACACGCGCGGCTCGGCCCGGCCCCCGGTGGGGCGCGGGACAGCAGCGCGGGGCTGCGCCGCGACTATCTCCTTCGTCCTCCCCCCGCCGCGCACCTCGGGGCGCTCCCCGGCACCGACGGCGTGGCCCTCGCCCGGCACCGGCCCACACCCCGCGAGGCACGGCGAGGCCCGACCTCGGTCCCCCTCCCTCGGTAAACGACGGGACGCCGCGAGCGGGACTCACCGTGGCCGGGCTCCTCGGGGACAGGGGGCGGTCCCGCCCCGCGGCCGCCCGGCCCGCTCCGGCGGGAGAGGAGCGGCGGGACGAAAGGCTCGAGACGCGAGGAGCCCCGCCGAGGGGCGACCCGGAGCAGCGGCCGTCCGGGTCGAGAGAACGCAGCGCAAGCGGGGCCGCAGAGGGTCGGGCCGGGCTTCGCCACCGCCGCTCCGTGCGCCCCGCACCGCTCCCGCACCTAAAATGGAAGTTGGTCCGGCGGGGCGGGGGCGGGCCGGGCTCCGGGTACCGCCCCCGGCGTCGGCGCGCCGCGGCCAATGGTGGTAGCGCGGAGCGGCGCCCGGCGCGGTAATGGCGGCCGTGCGGGGGGGGGGGCGGGACGGAGCGGCACGGAGGAAGCGGCTCGGGGTGGGGGTCCGCGGCACAGCCCCGTGAGCGCACCGCCTGGGAAGGCTTCCGGAGGCCGATCCTCCCGGTAAAGCTTCCGGCTGCCGCGGGGTCGCGTTCTCCCGGCCTGAGCTCCCGTCCCGGCCGAGCCACGGCTGCGGGGACTCTGCCCCCGCCGTGCCGGGGAGCCGCCCGTCCTCGCTACGGGAGGAAACGCCGCTCACCTGCGAGAAGCCGGGATGGACGCTGGGGGTTCTCTGCCTCGCCTCTGGTCTGGGACCGGCGGGACTGGAGCGCTGGGGAGGATCTGCCCGCTCCCGATTGCCGAACTGCTAAGCGAGATAATGACAAAAGGAAAAGGATTGCCGAATGGTTTGGGTGGGGACAGGTGATTTCAGGGGTAAATATGTACGGCGCGGTTGGGCAAGGAGAGGTGGGGGAGCCGATAGCCGCCTGCAGATGTTTGGGGAAGGTAATCCCCCGGCCGGGGGCGGGGTTTGCTCAGAGCAAAAAAGCATAATGAAGAGCAATGGGATTAAACGAGTGAGAGGGACGCGTTTAGTGAGATTACGGGGCGGCAGACCCCCAGACCCTCCCTGTCGCTGGATCAGTAAACAGATCATTCGGTTCGCTGGCTGCAAGGAGCGCAGCAGGCACGGGACGGCAGCTCCTGCCTCTGCAGCGAGCGGGAAGCTCCTCTGCTCCCAGCGCAAACACCTTTGCTCAGCCCGGGCGGGGCCCCTTAGCCGTGTGACTTAAGAACCGAGCCTTTGCCCTCTGGAGGAGCAGGGGAGCCAGGAAGCACGCTCGGCACTGGCCGGGTGGCTGCCATCGCACGGACCGCAGGTAGGTGGTCACCAGTACCACAGCCTGGGGCAGACTTCCGGCGTGCCTGATATGTTGCTGCATTCCAATCCCGTATTCCGATCAGCCCAGAGATTTTACAGCCTTTAAAGTCTTTAGTGAGTTTCTTCAAAGATGAAATGCGCTGCTGCGAACACGCCTATGCCAGCTCTGAATTGGAGCTGGAGTCGTGTCGCTTTGAAGCCGGGTGAGCGCCTCGTGTCCCGAGGGCTGCGGGGCTGAGCTGGGCAGGGTCTAAAAGCACGCTGTCAGCTCCAGCTCCTCATTCAGCAGTGCCCGGCAGCGGCCAGGACACCCAGTAATGTGTGCTCACTTCTGAAGGAAGATTGTACCCTGATCCCTGGGCTCGGGCTCACCCTGCAGCAGACAGTGCTCTTGTTTAAATGTAAGTACTGTGGCGGATGAGTCCGTCCTGCTGCTTCCCGGGAAGAAAGATGGGTTACTAACATGGCTAAATTTGCCCTTTTACAGTAATTGGGCGTAATAACATCTTATGCATCCCCTTTCATCCTACAGTGCTGTTGATGCCTTCTCCAGACAAAACGCCCAAACAAGGCAGCTACCACCGGAACAGAGTAAGACAACTTGTTTATCAGACAGAGGAATGCTCCTCAGCAGCACGGAGCAGGAGGAAGAGGGAGCTGCTGTCTGCAGGCCCAGCGTGGGCAGTTCAGAGATGGTCTGCATTGTTCTACATCAGGATAACAAGGCACTTCCGCAGCCCCTTTCCTGTGGGAATCCCAACAGGTTGTTGTCCTCCCCCTGCAGGAAGGGAAGCGTGGCACCAGGGGGCTGAAACATCCCATCTGTCAGATGTCTGCACTAAGCAGTATGTTCTTCTCTTCACCTTTGGTGCTTTTCCTAGTCTTGGGTGCCAGCCTTCACCTCTTCAGCTTTCCCTTCCATGGTAGATGCAAGCAACATGCAAGATACCTCCTAAGAATAGAGAAATGAGACAGCTCAACGCTGCAATTTAGTAACAGAAGTAAAAGGGGATGTTAATGGAAAACAATTGCAGCTCTGATTAAGACCCAAGATAGGAATTTCCCTTCTCTGTAAGAAATCAGCTCAGAATCTGCTGACTGGGAGACTCGAGAAAGGATATGACTAGCTCAGCGGCAGGGTCTCTCTTCCTATAAACTGTGGAGCAAACCAGGATAACCAACTTGCACTTAGACTGCGTCAGACAGGCTGACCTCGCCTTCCTTCTACAGTGAGACCTACAGGGAGATGAACCTTGCCAGACTGATTCACGGAGCCCTTCCAGGTCTGCACACAGCTATCCACTGGGAAAAGCACAGGAGAAGGCAAAGCAAGGGCCAGGCTGGGGCACAACACCGTGCTTTTTAGGACTCTGTTTCTGCAGGTCTCTATCCACAGAGAATAAGGTTTGAGAAGGAAGGAAGGTGCAGGTGCATGCTGGGACCTCATCCTAGTCTGGCTTTGGGCATAAATGGAGTGACTGCTGCCAGTGGTGAAGGTCACTTCTGCACAGATACAGCCCCAGCCAGCAATTTCTCAGCACCTAAAGGAGAGAACCACGCTCTCGCAGTTTGCTGGCAAGATGCAGCCAGCAAATTCTGGCAGTGAATGTGGATGCTGGTATAGAAAGAGAGGATCCTGTCAATGGGACAAAAGGGTGTTGGTGCTTTTTTCCAGTGCGGGCTATTTGGCTTTGAGTACAAGTAAGAATTGCACTAATAAAATGCCTCTTTTGTGTGCAGACTCTATCTGCAGTGGAAGTGTTTGCTGGTATCACCAGATCCAGTATCTATCACCAGTATCAGTAACTTTTCAAGGGCAGACAAGGCCATGGTAGGAGGAGGGGCGGGGGAGGCAGCACTAGGGGCTGCTGGGGCTGAGGAGAGGACTTCTGCATGACAGGGATCAGTGTTGCCCCTGCAAAACACTAAAAATGCCTCAAAGCAAAGGGCCTGCCACCTGGGCCAGGTCCAGGGCTTTGTGTTGCTAGCTCTGTGGGTCTATCAGGACAGAGAATCCTTCTGACACACAGGGAACGAGTGCAACTAAAGAGGCCTGCATCAGCTTTTCCACCACCCAGACCACTCACGTACTCTCCTTTGTTTCCAGGAAATGTGATTTCCACTCTTTCCCAGAGCTGCTGCTGGGCTCCCTGTCTCAGCCACTGTCACAAGACACGCAGCAGTTTGTAAGATCGCTGTGGTCTGAACGGGGCTGCCTGTTCAAAACATTGGCTTCCCATCTCCCACAGTGGGCCCAAGAGGCAGAGGGCTGTTTGTGCCACGCTCTGCATGAAAAGCACTTTCTGTGGGCTGGAACAGATCACACGGTAAGAGTGGACTTTGCCCTTTAACGCTTTGTTTTCCTCTTCCCTGTCTTGCACCAGTAGTAGGACGCACAAGAGCTGTTTTGCACACTGTAACTAATGCCCGTGAATGCCCCTTTGTCCATCCTGCGTCACCTGCAGCCTGATCCTTGTCAGCTCATGAGCTCCCGCAGAGCCTTCAAAGCTGTCTGCCAGCCAGCAGAATGCCAGGATGCATTCTTACCTTTCACTTTGAGTGTGTCCAAGGACTGGGACAGATCCAGATCACTTGCCCTTTTATCACTCCTGCTCCTGGGATGGCCTCAGGAGAGGGAAGAGTGCTCCACACTGAGTGACAGAGAGGGAAGAGCCCAGCTTTGCCTTGGCCACCGCCCTGATGAGCAAGCACCACAGCACCACCAGCTTGTTCCTCCAGCAAAGGAGACAGGTGATATCAAGTCCTGCCTCTGAGTCAGCAAGAAGCATGCAGTGAAGATACAGCCTTCTCGTGTAACTGGGATTTTGCCTCACCTGCTGATCAGCTGCCTGGTCACAAGAGGAAGTCCTCTGATATCAGCGTCTTGGAATTTTTTAATTTAGCTTTGTCCTGGCTCCATGGCTTTCCTTTGACTTCTGTGCCCCGGTCGGCTCAGCCAGCTGAAAAGCACTTTCCACAGCTGATGTCCTCCCACTTGCAGGCTCTCTCTGCTTACACCTTAGGCTTGCCTGCTGAGGAGTCTCCTTCTCACTGCCACAGCTCTAGCATGGTCCAGGCACAGTATAAAGCATCGCAGAGCAGCAGGGAAGGCTAAGAGCATATTCTAAAATTCATATAGGCCCCTAAATCAATAACCGTATCCATCTGTCCCCAGTGAATCCAAGCTTTTCAAGTTACAGCTTCAATTACTATAATTTCAAAAGATTGCAGTGGGCAGAGGAGTACAGTTCTCTTTTTTCTATTTTTATGAGCATATGATAGCACTGATATGAAATTACGTGTTTTACTGTTTCCCTTGGTATGTACAGCTGGACACAAAGCCACCCGAGGTCAGTGGAAAGACTGCCACCAACCTCAGAGCCTCTGGCTTAGACCCATAATTACTTTCTTTTATGGTTTGTTCCAGTTCTGCACCCTTACATGTCGAAACACAGGAAAACCCATCTGTAAAGCCACAGGGGATGATACCACGTTTAACTAGTTGCAGAAAGCTTTGTAGGTTTAAAATCTACAGCATCATTTTGATTCTTGTTCTTCTGCAGCCCTTGAAACTTCCACCCACTTTGGTTGTTTGTGAGGACAGGCAGTATCTCCAGGCTATGGGCTAGGATCATTACAGCTCTTGGTAGCGTGTGTGTGTGGAGTGATTGACGCAGATGTTTTTACAATGGATGCTTTATAAAACAGCAAAAAGCATTTCCAATTCTCTAAGCAGACAGCATCGTTTGCACGAAGGCCACTTTCCAAAACACCCATCCTCAATCCTCCCCTTTCAGCCCAGTGTTTATCTGTACGCCTGTCTCCCCCGGAGGCATCAGCAGGCCGTGCCAGTGCT